TTTATATTAACTTAATGAACAAAATTTGTTAATTAAGTAAAATTGTTAAAAGTTTTTTTTTTACTTTATTTAAAAATAATATAATTTTTTTTGTTAATAATAAAAATGGTTGTATGATTCACACTTGCATATACTTTTTCCTTTCACATTTCTTCAACTCTCGTGAGATTTCATTTTTCATCATCCATGGGTATCCTCATCATGGTTGATCACTGGCTGTATTATGCCATTGGCTCTAATACCACTTTGTTGGAGAGACATACAGGATCTAATACCACTTTGTTGGAGACACATACAACCTAACTAGGAGATATTGAGTGGCCCTTCATATGTTTCGACACTATATTATAACCAAAAGACTATTCCATTAATTACATGGGTCTTGACATATTTAAACCACTCTTTTCTTTCAAATTTTTTTGACGTGGGACTCTAATTCTTCATACTTACAAGGGAACAACATACTTCAACACACACCATTGCATGTGTGAGTTGTGAAGGCTCCCGTGAGATTTCATTTTTCCATTTATTTATTTTCTTCTTATTATTATTCTTATAAAATTAATAATTTGAATAATAAAAAATAAAAAATACATTTAATTACTTTTAAAAATGTCCTTATAGTCATTTAACATCAAACAGTATTCATTAATTATTATTTAACTAAATTGTTACATCAATCAATATTTGCCATTTACTATCTACTTCTTGTTATTTGCCAACCACTAACTGCCACCTATTATTCACTTAATTTTAATTACTGTTGTATCAAATTGACCCTACATGTAGCACATGGTTCACCATAGTCTACTTTCCTCTCTTATTATTTGCTAAAGTTCAAGCCCAAACCTTGATTTTCTTCCTCTTTTTTTTTTTTTTTGCCTTAGTTTTATGTTTTCAAGATTTACTATATATTTAATTTTAATGGTTAGTGTTGTCAACAAAATAAAAGAATACTTATCCACTAGTAATTTGGTGCAAAAAGTTATCTCATGTAACTTTTTTAACTCACTAGCAGATTAGACTATAATCACTATTTGCTAATTCAAAACACTAAATAAATAATTTTACCAAACGTCTATTTGAAGCAGTTTGAAACTAAGCACATTTGCTAAACACCTATAGTATAGTTGGACAAAACCACCCACTATACCAAATTGGCCCTAAAAATAGGAAATAAATTGGAACTAGATGTGTTTGTGTGATCTAGTGGATTAATCTTGGATGTTCATAAATAACTTGTCATCTTTAAGTAACTACTTCATCTTTAGTATTTCTAGTTTCTACTTTTTGACAATTTTTAATTATTTCTCTTGGTTCACCTGATTGTTTTTTTGATCTTCTTACAGCACTCTTTCTAGGATCAATCCGTATCTCTAGAGTTCTACAATAAGATCGTGCATTTATAGTTATAACTTTAAAATTACATCAGATTGTTGTCATAATGGAATCTACGACATATTTGCAATAGAATTTGCATTGAATCAAATACCTGAGAAACAAAGCAAGCGGAATTTATTAAAATCCCATATTTGGGGTTTAGGTAGCTTAAGGAAAAAGGGAAGCTTGGGCAAAGGTGGTGGCGTGGTGCGTGATTGGGTTCTTGTACATCTGTACTGTTGTGACACAACCACAACAGTGCACCAAGTTGTTGTGCATGCGTTAACAATGCCGTGGATGGCTTCCCCGTCCATTATTCACACCACCCAACCAGGCCTCTTCTCCCATGGCTTCACATAAAAACACCAAAACATATCAAAACTTATTAACTTCAAGAAGCGATGCACCAAAAGTCTCAAGAGGATGTGCAGCAAAGAATAAATCAGAAAATTTCGTTTATGATATCTCATTGTTTAATCATGAAAATTACAAAGTTAATTCATGAATTCAAAGTCAACTTACTAAATGAGAAGAAGAAAAATCACTCTGAGAAGGAGTAGAACATGAACGGTGACAAGATAAGGAAGGCTATTTTGCATGAAAAATGAGTGAGGGGTCAGATGATGTGCGGCTAGAGTTCATATGTCTAAACATTTTTATAGACTTAATTAAACAAAAGTGATACTTTGGTCATAGTATTTAAAACCCTATACACATTGCCCTTTGAATTTAATTTCTTTGCAATTAAGTCCTCTCTTCCCATTTAATTAAATTTAGCCCTTTAATTTTAATTTATTTCAAAAACAAATTCTTGAAAGCCCAGAAAAATCAGGGATATTATAGTGGGATTGGGGCATTACGTTTTTAATCCTTAAAAATGTAAAAATTAACAATTACTTTAAGAGGGAGAGAGTAGACATTAAACTAAGGGAAAGCAACCCTAAAAAAAGCCCCAAACAAGGATACAAGGGCATGGGACAGGGGCATCACCCTCTCTGCAATAAGGAACCCCACCTTGGTCATTATCCATGTGCCACATTCTTCCTTCGGCCACACCCACCTTGCAAGTGTATATTAGATTCTGCTATTGACTTGGAGTTCACCTCTTTTAAATTCTTTACTAACCGCCCCCACTCCAAATTAATTATCTATCCCTATGTTAGAAAAACCATAGCCATCCCTCAACTCTGTCATTTCCCCTGCTGTGCCTCTGCAAACCCTAAAATGGAGCAAGCCTCACCTACTAGCTTGCAAATATGTGACTTAATCATGCTAGCTCTCAAACCCACCAAGATCCCTTACCCTAGCTTCACCTTTGCACTAGGAAACTAACCACAATAGACAAATGAACCTCCACTCACCAAGACAAATCCACTGATGGAACTCATTACTTGTTAAGGCAGTGGACGAAACTCCTTTCAAGCTTTAACAAGGCTTCCTAGGAGACTTGGTAGGAGCCACATATGCTATTTAAAATAAACATTAATAAAATTACTTTATTGTAACTCCTTTGGAAGTTGCATGAGCATAAACCGGCTTAACAATTGATTGGATTCATTAGGAAATTATCATGTTGTAAGTTAAGTTTAGAGATTAAATCTTAAAGTCAATATTTAAAAAAAATTAATTTCATATAATGGTATGGGTGTACCCTTAAAATTGTGAAGGAAAGTATTAATTTTAAGTTATGTATAAACTATTATAAA